CACGCAGGGTGTCAGCGGAGACCTGCAGATCTTCACTGAACAGATGGTGAGTATGAGAAGAAAAAATCAATCAAAAATACCATGTTTAGCACATTTTAATCTTCAGAGTTGCACTGAACAGCCCTCACTCGCAGTATTTTAAGGCGCAGCATCTGTGTGTGTTTCCCAGCGCTTGAGCTCTCAGTGCAGACTTGTCTCTGTAAAGCTGACGTCTTGTGTCTGGTTGGTTTGTTGTTGTTTAAGCGCGGCTCTGTGTTCTCATCAGCAGGTGCAGGAGGATCAGCTGGAGTCACTGGTGGACTGGCTGACAGCTCAACCGCGAGCCGCCCAGCTGGTGGACAAAGACAGCAGCATCGTCAACACGCTGGAGTATTACCTGAACCGCTATCTGAAGGACGTCAAGAGACACCTGGTCAGAGCCGACAAGAGGTGAAATCAGCACAGCCGTGATCCCATGTTGAGTGGAAATGAATATTCAGGGATTAATCAATTTTTTTGTTTTTTGACAGGGACCCTGAATTTGTCTTTTATGATCAACTCAAGCAGACCATGAATGCTTATAGGTGAGATTTTCAATGATTTGATGTTTAAAGGAACACGCCACTATTTTTGTAAATAGGCTCATTTTCCAACTCCCCTAGAGTTAAACAGTTGAGTTTTACCGTTTTCGAATCTATTCAGCCGATCTCCGGGTCTGGCGGTAGCACTTTTAGCTGTAGCTTAGCATAGATCATTGAACATTGCGAAAATCGCAACTTTTCATTTTCTGTCGGTCTTAGTACACGATGAAACTACAGAAGAGTCAAGCTTTAAATAGGAAAAATATAGAAACTCTTTGGTCATTTTTGAGCGAGATGCTAACGGTCTAATCAGATTCATTGATCTATGCTAAGCTACAGCTAAAAGTGCTACCGCCAGACCCGGAGATCGGCTGAATGGATTCGAAAACGGTAAAACTCAACTGTTTAACTCCCGGGGAGTTGGAAAATGAGCCTATTTTCAAAAAAAGTGGAGTGTTCCTTTAA